TTTAAGTAGACATTGTTTATCCATTTGTACCAAAGAGAGTCCTTCTTCGATTGGATATTCCAAAGGGTCCTCATGAGAAGGGCCCGGTTCCACGCTTCCAAGTTACGGAGCTCCAATCCACCCTCCGCCCGAGGTAAGCATAGAGTATCCCAAGCAACGGGAGCTTTTTTGAAGCCCCATAAGTATCTTCTACAAAGTTGCGTGACCTTAGTTCGAACTATGCCCGGCAAATGGAAGATATGATGCTAAATTTACGCACATCAGATTTTCATTCGCATCATGTCAGGTCATTTTGGTGGGTCATCAGTACATGGATGAAGGTCAAATTAGCTATTATTCCTCCATTACCAAGCCTTCTCTGATTTTTTAGAAAACCTGCATAAATGGCTAAACCATTACAGCCCATGCAATGTTACTCGTTTACTAAGTAGTGTGTATCATAGTTCAAATACAAGTCCATTGTTTTTATCTCTCCCTAAACTACATTTATTAGAAGCTGGGTTACCATTTCATTCCCCCAACTCAATCAAAATAATTCCCAACAAGCTGCTACAAGGACACAGGCTATATTACTACCATGCTATCTGCTTTCACATACAAGAGTAGAATACAAATAGCCATACTCCTTCACATTCGGCTGTTTAGGGAAGGAGAGAGGAAAATGAGACGAGCCAAAATCGTTACCTTATAGCTCATTCATAAGTTGACAATAAAAAAAATTACAATTTTCATCCCTCGATGTTGAAATGTAGGTTTTCCAATCAGAAACTGCTTATTAGAATCTACACCATTAATGGACCTACATCCTCATTAGCAGGTTTTATAAAAAAAATCCAGGTCATTATGAAAGAATTAATAGGAATATAATTGACTGAAACAAAGCCATAGATAAGCCACACAGGCGTTGGCGAGAGCTACAGAGATCGACCTAAAGTATCTACAGGGTACAAATTCACCAGACCACTGGATAAACTTGATTCCATATACAGAAACACACTACTTCAAGTTCAAGTGGGTATCAATGCCAAAATTTGGTTCTTGATTATGCCCACACATTTCTGAATCTCGGTGTAAATGGGAAGGTTCTGTGAACTGCGTGGTTGTAAACTTGTCACGGCAGAATCTAATATCTGTGCCACGTCAGACGGGGGGAACTGCCTTTCTGTACACTTCTGCAGTTTTACCGGAAAAACAATAATTAATGAGAACGTGATTCATTCTGGTTTGTGAATCAACGAAAAAAAAATACATAGGGGCTTGTTTTTGTATAAACTTCACCTGAATCATAAGTAGAGTCGCCACACATTTTGTGATCAACTCAGAAGGGATTCGGGTGTCGTCAGATGCATTCGTCAGTTTAGGATCAGTTGCCTGAAACAGTTTCGAATTTTATTTTATTCCTAACAAAATATTCAATGTAATGGGAGAAAAAGGGTAAGCAATGGCTGAATATTGAGGTAAAAGGGATTTACTTTAGGCAGGCAGGTGTCATCCAAGGGAAGCTGGTCATTTACGTAATCTATAGCTTCCTCAATTTTCTCTAAGGTATCCTTCTGACTCTCAAGTGAGGTGATTGCCTATTAGAAAATTATTATTTTCTTAAAAAGATAGCAGTAAAACAAACTTTTTTTAACAAAAGAAAGAAAGGTATTAAACATCACAATGTCTCTCGCACAACATTAACATGAGGAAGTCTTTAACCGGAAAGGATATAAACCTAGAATTGAATGCCTTTACCTGCACAGCAGCATTTACCATCATTCGTGCTTTTGATCTCGAGCTATCCATGATTTCATTCATTTGTGATCCTACATCATGAGATTGGCAAGCAGAATTTAGTGTGCCACCGGGATCAGCAAGATGCCCTACTGGTCTCGTTGATGTCAGCAGAAATTTTCCTTGGTAAGTGTTCCGTTCTCTCAAGCAATGTAAAGCTAATGTAACCTGCCAGAAGCAATTTGCTCTGAGCTGTAACTCTGCAACTCAAAAGAAATTGTAATAGGAAAAAGAGGTTTAAATTCTTTTTCTATGAAGACTGGTACCTGTTCATTGGCTTCATTCAACTGTATAAGCACAGCAGCATATTGCTTTTTAAATGACTCAGACTCCTTCAAAGGGCTACCACCGTCTTTCTGATTTTCCAACATGTCATCATTCATTCGTTTCAACTCAATAACAATTGCCTCCTGCATACATGTGGACACAAAATAAAAATGAGCACACTTATGTACTGATTTTATGATGCGCCGGCATTTAAATTTATCGAGGTTTTCAAAACCGGACCGATCATA